AAATTCAACGAGCGTAACGATAGTTTCTCGATATACAGAAAGGTCCACAGACTTCGAGACATAGGAAAAATCAAGTCCATTTAGCGTGTGTCGCAATTTTCACACCTTAAAAAATTAGTTACCTATTCATTTACTTATGTTTTTATAGCTATAGCAACTGCAGCGACTATGAAAAAAGCTGTGTGGTTTTCATAGAAAATAAGGGCACCTGTAATTCAGTTGAGAATGTTATAAATCGCTAAAAGAGGTTTCATATCTCTTGGATTTCTATTAATATTAAATAAATTTTATTAAAAATATGACTAAAATTGTTAGTATCATTAAAAACAATTCAAATTCAAAAATTGTATCAGTCAAATTCCCTCATTTAAGGTGAATATTAAAGTAAATATAAATATAGCTCACTCTAAGCTCTACTTATCTTTAAGAAAAATTTAAATCATTGGTGCAATTGGGCCTTAATGCCATTTCAAATGAATAATAGTATTAATAATGTACATTATTATAATAATAAATTTTATATCATAGTGTGTATTAAAGCTATTAAAACACTTTTAAATTGGTATTATATTAACAACTTTTGTTTTTTTAATCCAAAGAAAATAAGTCACAAAATTTCTCAATCAAAATATTTGTGGTTCTGAAAAGGCCCTTTGTTTTCCCATGTTCGTCAAGGTAGGTAATGGGTAAACGATAAAAAAACAGGATAATGAAATTTAAAATATTACAAAAATTGTTCAAAAATACCTCCCTCCTGCATTAAACAATAACCCAAACGATCATAAAATCCCCTCTTCCACATTGGATAACATATCAGAGGTAACAGTGTCAAAGGCATTAACTAAAAAAATTAATTTTCTGCCTTAACTTGTACAAGTTTTGAATTTCTTTATGGCCGTAAATTTTAGATTTTTTGTACCCCCATAAAAAGAAATCATTCACCGAGAGGTCAGATGAAATTAAACGTCAATCTAAACAAAACTGTCATTTTTGAAAACTTGTCAAAATTTGGACACACGCTAAATGGACTTGATTTTCCTATGTCTCGAAGTCTGTGGACTTTTCTGTACACTTACTTACAAGGTATTACTTTTAAATCTTTTTATATTATATGGAACGTTTGAAATTGTTTGATTTGGTTCAATTAAACAGCAAATAAGTATAAAATGACAGCTCTGTTGTAGTCATCTTTTTATAGTCAGATAATTCTAAATACATTTTTTGACATTGACATGAATTCATTCATTTTTTGTCGTTTTTTACTGTACATTATCAAATAATTAAATTAATAACCATTTTGTAATAAATCGTCCAACATATAGGTAATTTATCTATCAGTTTTATAATCTTCGATATTTATTTAATCTTCGATATTATTATATTCCATTAACTTGTTGGCATCTAATTTGTTCATGTTTTGAAGTATTCGATTGTATGTTTCGTTTACAAAAATTCACTTAAATTCATAGTTATAAGTATTCATAAGCTTAAGAAGTTACTTGACTTAAATTTTGATTTATTCTAGAGCACACATTTAAATTGTTGCTTTAATCAGTCAAGGAATTTTTATTTATTATAAAAAATAGTTAATTAAATTATTTAGGAAATTATAAACAACACATACACATACAAAATAAGAATTCTAAATCTGCAATAATTGGGTACTTTAGACACAGCCTATTCAATACCCAGTTTAGGGCTCAGGCTTACTCTGAAACGGAAAAAATTATGCAATCTCTGCTTTTTACCAATTAAGGTACATTCAGGATGAGAGCGTCGAGCGTCGAGCGTCGCGTCGCGTTTGCATCGCGTCCGCGTGTCGAAATGGAGTCAATTCACTTAACTTATCCACGGGTTGTCTGCTCACAAAAATCGTCCGACTGTGCAAATCCCTGGTTCAACTGGAGTGGGATCTTCTGGAGGAACCTAACAAACTCTGGAATGTCAAAAAGACATTCTTCTGTGGTTTCTCCACATCGAGTTATGGTCGTCGCAACTTAAGGGCCGACCACCGCCTCTATGTGATAAATGTAGTGATCCTTTAACTGTCAAACATATCCTTAAGATTCCTTAATGTAGTCAGTTAATTAACCTAAGAGAGGCCTGCAATCTTTCGTCAGACATGTCAGTTATTTTTTCTACAAGTGAGCAACCAAAACTTTTTGATTTTCTGGAAAGATCGGAATATATATCTAAAATATAGGTATCTAAAAGCTACATTTTGGCTTAAAAGCAACCAATTACTAATTCAATTGTACATATTTTTACGTTTTATTGTTTTATTCTATGTTGTCTATACAATTTACTGTAGTCAGTTAACCTAAGAGAGGCCTGCAATCTTTCGTCAGACATGTCAGTTATTTTTTCTACAAGTGAGCAACCAAAACTTTTTGATTTTCTGTAAAAAATCGGAATATATATCTAAAATATAGGTATCTAAAAGCTACATTTTGGCTTAAAAGCAACCAATTACTAATTTAATTGTACGTATTTTTACGTTTTATTGTTTTATTCTATGTTGTCTGTAAAATTTACTTTTTATTTTTACAAAATCAATGTCTGTAACATATACAATCTGTCTATAAACGTGTTGTTTAGTAAAATGTCAAATATTGTACCGAACTAAAATAGCAGGTGATACGCCGCTAAATAATCTTTGATGCTGGTGCGGCTTGAAAGCTACATTTCTTTTTCTTCTTCTTCACTTAACTTAAATTAGACTGTTCAGGCAGACAGCGTCGCGTTTGGCGTTGCGCTAGCGTCCGCTGAGCGTCGGTGTTCGAGTTCAATGGGTCGGACGCGACGCAAACGCGACGGGACGCTCGACGCTCTCAGCCTGAATGTACCTTTATACGCATTGATATTTCTGTTTAATACATACATAATATGTAAAGAATATGTGAGGATCCAGCAGTAAAAAGGAAGAATTTTCAAAAATATATGCACAGATCTGGATATTGAATAAGCTGCGCTTTTGTCACATCAGACCAAAACATCTTTATATTTATTATTCTGAATACACGTCTTGCTTATCACAATGTCATCGTTAACAAGTAAAATTAGGAAATCCATATGGAAAAGCGAAAATGAATATATATTCAGTCAACCAGCTACGATTGTTTCTACACATTACTTCTTGTTAGGATGGCGCTTTTGAACACTCCATATCCATTCTTTAAAACAATTTTTGATTTCCAGATAACAGTCTTCTTCCATCTCTCTCCAAATTGGTTAGGTACCTCTTCATCATAGAATCATACATTTCTTAATCAGCATCATCTTTCATTATAGAAATCTCCACTTACACCACCTCAACTTTTCGACATGTCTTTGGCCTGTGATGTTTTTCTAATGATCCGTGCATTAACTTTTTTAATTTCAGTCTGTCAAATCAGCAATGACCTTTAAAGGCTATACTGTACGATCAAGTAAGTATATAATCCAGATCCAGTAAAATTCCAATGGTATCAGTTCAAAAGAAATGGTAGCTCATATCAGAATACACCCCTATAATAACAAATGCATCTGGATATAATGTTATTATCTGTTGATGATTGTTGATGGATATTGTTAAGAAAATATGCATTCAGAGAGATAAAAATGTTTTGGCCCACTCATGCCCTAAGTACTGAAATTAGCGACTATATACAGGGTGAGTCTTAAACAAATGCAAATATTTTCAGGGCTGATAGATATCGATAAAAAACATATTTTCTCTTTACCATTTTTCAAACAAGTTCAAAATAACCAAGGTATTTTACTTTGAAAATTCCACACCTGTAATTTTTAACCAATCAAAACGTGTTTTTTTGACAAATCACCATGGCAACGGATAAATTTTAGTGAAAATTTTTTCCTTGTGGGCACCCAGCAGCGAATTATACTGGAACTTTTTTGACGTTTATAATGACAGAATATCTTTTTGAGAGTCTGGTTTTTATTTGTTTACATGATAATTTTGATACATTTCAATTACAAAGCTGAGATGAAAGTTTTTAAACTGCTTCCATACGCTTGACTTCGATTTCCTAGTATTCGCGGGTGTCAACTGCTTAATCTCCTGGTGAATATTTTCTTTGCTTTCATGACCGAAGCAAAACATTTTTTAAGCCGTGCCGCTTGACATCTGCAAAACTGAAATAGTTTTTAGGTTTGGGTGTCACTTAGTTGTCATAGTAACTAAATAATCAATTCGACCAAAAATCGAAAAATACATTTTAATTATTTGATTTTCAAACACAATTTGGTGTGGAATTTTCTTACCGAATACCACACGAGGACAAATTAAATCCGGACATTTTTTCTCGCTCATTAATATTTTTAGAAAATTATCCCTCGTCTTCGACTCGGGATAATTTTCAAAATATTCATGAGCTCGAAAAAATTTCCGGAAATGATTTGACCTCTAGTGGTATTACTAGTGAAAATTTTAAAAAATATATATTTTTTGCTTCTATTTTGAGAACCACTGGATCTTTTCTGGGTTGTAAACTTAATCTACTTCCTATGGTTGCCATATTATCAAGAAATTATGTTTTTTAATCAAAAATTAAGTAAATTTCCAATAAAAATTTCGCAAAAAACACCTCATAATCGTGTTTCCGCTAAAAACATTTGCACTTATCAGTCACCCTGAATAATATTATTACTAAGCAAAAAAACTAAACATTGTAACTATTGTTGTTATCTAACTCGAAATATAAATTATACATTTAATTCTGTAATATAAAATATTAACAATGGCTTAATAAAATACAGTAAATAATAAAAACACATTTGGCATATATTAGATTTTCTTTCATTTTACATTTATTATAGAGTTATAGCTTCATTCAGAACCTTGCAATTAGTGGAATAAATTAGTGGTTTCAATTTTCAATTACACTTATACTTTTTACTTTACGATCATTCACAATGTCTAAAAAACACAATTAAAATTAATAGATTATCCTAGCAACAGCTTGCGGTAGTCAGTCGTATCCACAGAGAAACCCTAATATTTATCTTATAAAATAATAAACTTTTGATTTCTAATCACCATTTCTCTTGACGGTTGATAATCAAATGCGAAAATGACATTCCTTGCAAATTTTGAAGTATAATTAGTGGAAAAGTTAAAAGTTTGTTAACTTTTTCCACTAATTGAAGATTACTATTTCTAGTTTTGACGTTGTGAATACTTACATTGATATTAGAGGAACAAACTTCTACGCTAATTGAAACCACTAATTTATTCCACTAATTTCGAGGTTCTGAATGAAGCTTATTTTATCATAAGTTACAATAAAATATAACATTGATAAGTATAAACAATAATGGTTGGAGCTGTAAGTGCCCTTAACCACAACCTATAACAATTAATAAACCACTTGACCACGCCCAATTGTTTGGAAATAGCCAATTTTGACATAGTTTTTACTACAAAATTTAAAAATAAAAGTACAGGTCTTAAAAAAACATATATACATTAGCTTACTTTGCGTTTTACACTTATTACTATAGATCTATTTTATCATATGTTACGATAAAATCTGTTATAGATAAGATAAATAAAAATAATGTCGGTTGAAGCTTAAGTATTAATATACAAATGATTTCCTATATAACACGCCCTTATTATACCCCGCCCCTAACGACAACCTATCACAAGACACGAGACGCACCACGTGAGCCAGGCCACGCCCACAGTATATTGTCCGCTTGGCCACGCCCCGTTCACCTGTTTCACGGACGTGGTCAGCGCTTTCTCCTGGCCACGGAACAGGTTTTTGGCGAGCATGCGCATTTTCGTGATCTTGTCGTCGAAATTCGCCGTCGAACTGTTGGTTGGCACGTTGACGTTGCAGTAGTTCTGGTCGCAACAGGAAATGCACATCTAGGATAAGAATTAGAGGTGTCGATATTTTACTTATAGTCTATATAGTGTGACCAACGGATCTGTAGCTACGGGGTATCGGCAGGGGAACGCAGTTGTAAACAAAACACGCCCAATTTCATTCATAAAATAGGCATGGGCGTACGGTGTTATATGAAAATAATGTGTATCATAAATATAATACTCAGATTAATAATTTTTTTCAAAAAACTTTATGCTGTTTGAATCGTTACTGTTGAGTTAGCAGATAAACACTAAAAGCTTTTATTAAAGCTCCCTTAAATATTTTGAATCATTTTATTATTGTGTTGTTAATATAATAGAAGAAATAATTACAGCTGAGGGTTGGAACCTTTGGTGTTACACAGCAAAATAAAACACTAAATCAGTACAATACACCAAAACACTTTTAATTTTACACTGGACGCACGTTTCGCTAACCATGTCTGCCATCAGCAGATGATCAAAACTGAGTCTTGAGGTATATTTATTTATATATCTGTACTAACTATATTTTTTTTTATAATACATAATTTTAGATATAACTATTTCCAGCAAAAAAATCTTGAAAATAGTTAACTTTGGAAGCCCAAACAAAACATAATTTTACTCACCAGTAGATCCAATATTGCCTATTACACCAGATATGGTATCGCTCCGCCAGCAGTTTTTAAAGGTTAGGTCATTGTCTACCCATATGATTCATCCAAATAGATAATACTTGGCTATATTTTCGAATTTCGCGTATATATTTATATCTCTCTCTGCAATATAATGTGCCGCTCCATTAATATTTATCTGTTATTTTGATATTTACGCCAAAAAAATTCATTTGATTTTAATAACCCCCTAAGCGTTTCCCTGCAAAAGGAAAATTCGATTCTTCCTGCAATTTTTGCAAAAGCTTTCTAATTGTGGGGACGAGTTTGAATTCGAGATAAAATCTATTTATCAAATTCCTGACCACTTCGAAAAAGTCGTCGAGCTTTTCGACAGCAGTCTCACGTGGTCGTTTCTTTCTAGAGATGGATATCATTTTATCGGGGTTAATTTTCAGCCTTTTTTTTATCTTCTGTGTGAATTTTTTTTCTAGCCGATACGCTAACTCCGGTATAAAGAAATATCCGCTCAAGTTTACATTTAAGCGGCAACTTAAGCGAACTCTGTGTAGCTTCTTCATCGCAAACCCTATTATGAACACAAGGAAATAAACCAAATGAGATTTCATCCACGTTATTATTAACTTACCTATATAAATTAGCTATTATTTCTCTTGTCTGACTATGTAGTGTCTTACCCTTAACAAATTTATTCATTTTAAAACACAAATATACGATCAAACTTGATATTATTAATAATTAAAAACTACGAACGAAAAACATTATAACAAGATAACAAAACAGTAAAACACAACTTAACTATCAAATATACGAAAAATATAGGAATAAAGTTTAGGATAACCGGTATAAAATAATGAAATAAAGTAATAATGATCAAAAAAATGACACTGCCACTGGATATTTCAATAGTATTCAATATTCCTACTCTTTTCAGAAGAGACCGTGTAGTTGGGGATAAAGCAAGCGAATAGGAAAGGCGTAAAAGCCATGGCAAACGCGTGGTAACAAATCCTGTGACGTACTCTCGCCAATCATGTTCGATGAATAGGCGGCCATGCGCGGCGATGCCGGTTTGCCAATGATATCGTTGAAAAATCTTCAACTTTCATAATAAGCAGATTATACAGAATGAAAGAAATAAGTTATTAAATAAAACATATCGAACAATATGAACTACGTTAAAATTCCTTAGTAATATACGTCAGAATATATGCTAAACACATTATATATAATAAAAATATATGAAATTTATAGTTCATGTCTGGCAATTTTGCAATTTTATAGATAAACGTGGCAATATCGATTTTTTTTTCTCGCATTAATTCCGTAGCTTCAGATCCGCTGGTCAAACAGTACAGGATGTATACGATACATACACGTATATGATATACAAATTACGAGCATTGGTATCTCGCAAACCGTAAAAGATACGAAGATAGTTAAATATGGGGCAAAGTTGCGCCTTGGGATATTTGTCAAAAAAGTTTAAAAAAATATCAGGGATTATAGAGTTTTTTGATCTAAAAATACTATCAGATAGCCCTAATAAAGTGGCTATGAGAATGTGCAATTAGTTTTTGATTTTCGAAAAAGGAACGACAGGAAAAATTAAAATTGATTGTCAAAAAAATCGGTTTTTTTACCAAATATGTAACTCAGCAATTCTTGAAAGTTGTAGTTTGTATGTTGTGAAACTTTTTTGATAACATCTTGGAGATCATCGCAAGGCGTAACTTTGCCCCAATTTAACCATGTTTCTCTCTATTACGGTTACCGAGATACCAAATGCTCGTACACCGAAATTGTAGCACCCTGTATAGTTCTGATTTTTTCTATTTATCATGTTTTTTGGGGTGGTGAATTTGACTGTCACTTGTTAAACGAGAAAAGTATAGAGAGCATTGATTATAGGTGGTAATTCTTAAACTATCAAATTTAAATGCCGTGAACAAGTTAAACATCTTGCAATAACAAACAATCCTGTACAGAGCTATAATTACAATCTAACCACATAAAAGAAAAAATATAAAAAACTGAATTTGTAGGAAATTTTGTATACTTTTATTTTGTACAGAAGTATTATTTCTGAAAAAATTACATTTTTTGAGTTATAAGCAAAAAACCGCAAAAATTGCAATTTTTTACGTTTTTTTCGCATTTTTTCAATATTCCATCACGAAATGTTGTCAGCAAACACCAGATTCGGATTCAGCGTCCCAAACAACATAAAAAATCAAAATAAATCAGAACTACCCCAAAACTTTCCCCCAAAAAATACAATTTTACAAGACTATTAATAGTTTGTTAATTTTGATTACCATTTGGGCGTCAATTTCCACACATCCCACTTTATTTCTTTGACACTCTTTTTCGGTGGTGCACTTCTTATTAACCAGTACGCTCGTTCCTTTTGAATCCATTATGTGAAGAGTATGGCAAAATGTTTCACCTGCAACACAAAATTGACAGTATTCTCTGCAATAGTAGATATTTACGTTATAAGTTCGGTAAATCAACTTTTACAGTACCTATGAGTGAGTAGGTAATTTCGAATAAAAGAAGTATAATTAGTGGAAAAAGTTGAAGGTTTGTTAACTTTTTCTACAAATTGAAAATAACTAACACTAATTTTGACTAGTTACTGCTTACATTGAAATTAGAGGAACAAACGTCTATGCTAATTAAAACCACTAATTTATTCCACTAATTTCGAGGTTTGGTTTAATTTAAGAAGAACATTAAGCTGAATGAAGATATAAGAGTCTATTACACTGTACTTTCGGGTCGCTCAGCGGTCGGGTAGAGCGGGTGTGTGGCCGGAGGAAATATACAGGGTGAGTCTTAAATAAGTGCAAATATTTTCAGAGCTGGTAGATCTCGATAAAAGAAACATATTTTCTCTTTACCATTTTTCAGATAATTCCAAAATACCCGAGTTATTTGGGGTTGCCTATTTTACTGACCACTTTTTACTACCACCTTAACTTTGCTACTACCACCCAAAAATAAACTACTACCACCTTAATTTTGCTACTACCACCCAAAAATAAACTAATACCACCTTAATTTTGCTACTACCACCCAAAATAGACTACTACCACCTTAATTTTGCTACTACCACCCAAAAATATATTACTTCCACCTTAATTTTGCTACTACCACCCAAAAATAGACTACTACCACTTTAATTTTGCTACTATCACCCAAAAATAAACTACTACCACCTTAACTTCGCTACTACCACCCAAAAATAAACTACTACCACCTTAATTTTGCTACTACCACCCAAAAATAGACTAGTACCACCTTAACTTTGCTACTACCACCCAAAAATAAACTACTACCACCTTAATTTTGCTACTACCACCCAAAAATAAACTATTAACACTTTAATTTTGCTAATACCACCCAAAAATAAACTACTATCACTATAGTTCTGCTACTACCACTACCACTACCATAAGCAACAAAATAAAATGCAAAAATATCAGGAGTAAGAAAACAAACAAGATTAAATAAATTAAACACTGCGATTCTAAAAATGCTTTTATGGTTTGCATTGCAAATCTCGGATTAAGTTTTAAGTAATTTAAAAATTTAAAGTAATTTATTGTTTCTAGCAATTAAATAATAAACTACTACCACCTTAACTTCGCTACTACCACCCAAAAATAAATTACTACCACCTTAATTTTGCTACTATCACCCAAAAATAGACTACTACCACCTTAACTTTGCTACTACCACCCAAAAATAAACTAATACCACCTTAATTTTGCTACTGCCACCCAAAAATAAACTAATACCACCTTAATTTTGCTACTACCACCCAAAAATATATTACTTCCACCTTAATTTTGCTACTACCACCCAAAAATAGACTACTACCACTTTAATTTTGCTACTATCACCCAAAAATAAACTACTACCACCTTAACTTCGCTACTACCACCCAAAAATAAACTACTACCACCTTAATTTTGCTACTACCACCCAAAAATAGACTAGTACCACCTTAACTTTGCTACTACCACCCAAAAATAAACTACTACCACCTTAATTTTGCTACTACCACCCAAAAATAAACTATTAACACTTTAATTTTGCTAATACCACCCAAAAATAAACTACTATCACTATAGTTCTGCTACTACCACTACCACTACCATAAGCAACAAAAATAAAATGCAAAAATATCAGGAGTAAGAAAACAAACAAGATTAAATAAATTAAACACTGCGATTCTAAAAATGCTTTTATGGTTTGCATTGCAAATCTCGGATTAAGTTTTAAGTAATTTAAAAATTTAAAGTAATTTATTGTTTCTAGCAATTAAATAATAAACTACTACCACCTTAACTTCGCTACTACCACCCAAAAATAAATTACTACCACCTTAATTTTGCTACTATCACCCAAAAATAGACTACTACCACCTTAACTTTGCTACTACCACCCAAAAATAAACTAATACCACCTTAATTTTGCTACTGCCACCCAAAAATAAACTAATACCACCTTAATTTTGCTACTACCACCCAAAAATATATTACTTCCACCTTAATTTTGCTACTACCACCCAAAAATAGACTACTACCACTTTAATTTTGCTACTATCACCCAAAAATAAACTACTACCACCTTAACTTCGCTACTACCACCCAAAAATAAACTATACCACCTTAATTTTGCTACTACCACCCAAAAATAGACTAGTACCACCTTAACTTTGCTACTACCACCCAAAAATAAACTACTACCACCTTAATTTTGCTACTACCACCCAAAAATAAACTATTAACACTTTAATTTTGCTAATACCACCCAAAAATAAACTACTATCACTATAGTTCTGCTACTACCACTACCACTACCATAAGCAACAAAAATAAAATGCAAAAATATCAGGAGTAAGAAAACAAACAAGATTAAATAAATTAAACACTGCGATTCTAAAAATGCTTTTATGGTTTGCATTGCAAATCTCGGATTAAGTTTTAAGTAATTTAAAAATTTAAAGTAATTTATTGTTTCTAGCAATTTAACCACTCAAGTATAAAATAATAATACATTTTCGTAGATTTAAATAAAATTACAGTGGTAGTAGTTTATTTTTGGGTGGTAGTAGCAAAATTAAAGTGGTAGTAGTCTATTTTTGGGTGGTAGTAGCAAAATTAAGGTGGTAGTTGTACTTATTTAGATAGTAGTAACGTATATAAGCTGGTCAGTAAATTATGCTGGTCAGTAAAATAGATTTTCCCGAGTTATTTAAGTTTGAAAATTTAAAAAAATAAAAGAACCACCGGATTTTTTCTGTAATTGCATCCCTTTTAGTGCTGTCACCATAGAGTAAAGCCGTAACTATGGTAATATCAGAGATTAAGAAATTATACGGTAAGAAAATTTGCGGTGAACAAGCAGTTCTAAAAAGTTTTCGAAAAATATACAGGAAAATTTAAAAGAAAATGCACGATTTTCAACATCTTTTTTTTGCGAAGAAAACCTTATAGACGTGTTCCTGGGGTCGAAATATACCACCCCTAAAAATATTCACACTTATTTAAGACTCACCCTGTATATTATATCCTAACACGATCCTATCGTGTTAAGCCACACCCAAAATTCCAAACACACGTGCTTTGATTAAAGCTTGATTAAGGTTTGCAGAGCTTCAGCATTTGCCATAAAATAGCGAGCAATTTGTTACAAAACCAAATAAATTATATATCACTGTAATCACAAAACTTCAATCTATTTCCGTATTGTAACGGAATTTTAAATTATGCCTTTATTTTCGAGAAAATTTAGTCCAAATATAGGAAATATTTTGTTGATGTTTAACTATCAAAATCTTAAAAATAAAGAAGTTGTCTAAAAATGTGCTACAATACGGATATAGTATAATCCTTTATCTTTAATTTCATTCTTCATCTGTGTAAAAATACCTAGCCTGTTTTACATAAAACGTTAAATGCCGAACGCTTATTTTGTTACTTTTTCGGACTAGTGAAATGGAGTCTTAAGTTCTAACTGAAATCAAGCATGCGAAGTGTGTCTATACAGTATGAAATAAAAAAAAATACTTTTTGTACTTACCAGGTTTACAAGGTCTATCTATGGCGAATTGGTTACAAATTATATTATCGGATACGTTGACGCAAATGTAGCATGTGACTGCGTACTGGTCAAAGTCGGAAAAATCACCCGATGCGGTGTCTATCAGATTTGAACCGATACCCTGTTCTTCCAGGCGTGTATTCGTGATAAAGATGCAACTCAGGAGCATACCGAGGGTGAACATCACACTCTGGAACAATAAAATTGTACGTTTAGTATACACAGATAGACTGAAGTTCTACGAGAAGGTAATAAAGATAAAGAGAACTTTTTGGTTGATACTGTATAATAAGCTCGGGTCCGAAAACGTTATGCGCAAACTTATTAAAAAGAGCTTTAGGCATCCTCGGCGACTACAATTTAAGCATAATGGTTAATTCAGATGGTTCGGGAGACATAAAAGTTAACGTTCTAATGGCCAAGTAGCTGGGAAATTAAATTGGACGACGAAACGTGAATATCCCTTTTTATGTAGAAAAAGGGACGCGAAACCATGCCGAACAGAATGAAAATGGTAGAATTATGTCTATTTATTAAATCCAGGAAACATGGTTATAACTTTTATAATGCAATATGTACCTAAGCTTATTTCGTCACAAAGTCCTTCTATACCGGGTGCGTCTCAAAAGTGGCTCACTCCTATAACTTTTATATTTTTTCAGATAAAAATCGAGATTTGGTATGTTATCCTACATATACAGGGTTGTTCACCACATACGACACGGAGTATGTATTGTAGCTAAACGATTAGATTTTTACAAATTGTAAGTTTTGGGTTTGTTGAAGGACTATCAGAGCTACAATTTAAAAATATTTTTACAAGATACAGAGTGTCCCAAATAAATAAAAAATATCAAAGTTGTATTTTTTTAAATAGAGCACCCTGTATATTATTACATTTTTAGTTTCTACGATTAAAATAAAGGTAAATATGATTAAAGTTTATCACACTTAAACCTTACCGTTTTTGAAATATTTTCAATTTTGTGAAATTGCAGTAAAAATTTTAAGGCTTCATTTCTCCAAGGGTATCAAAGTTTTTAATACTAAATATTTACTGAAGTCTATTTATTGATCAGTTATTGGGTTGTAATAATAAAAATAATACTACCTCATACAGAGTGTCTAAAAATTTATTTTAAATTATTTCTAGTATAAACGGCAATAACTTGTTTAATTTAAATGGAACGCCCTATATATTTTAGGAGAATCAGATGCACAATTTAATTGTCTATCAAATTGTATTACGCCACTTTTTACCTATCCCTTCAAGTTTTCGTATAAAATGCATTTTCTTATAATTTAGACCTCATTTATCAATATACCCATGGAATATTGACATTTTAGATTGTTTTTAAAGCAACAAAGGTACAACATGTACAGGCTAGTAATATTATCGTTTTTAGCAAAATGATAATATTACTAGCCCATTTGTATGCAAAAAGAAAACTATTTAAATCTTTATAAAAGAGTATACCATTCATTAAATATACCACCATTATTTCCGCCCAAATACTAATTAATTACATACTTAATTATGTTCGTTAATAAATTATTCTAAATAAATGTGGATTTGAATCAAAAATCAATATAATAATAAGTTATGAAAACGAATATCTTTGTTGTTATAAATAAGCATTTGTCAAAAAAATGAAATATCATTTTTAAGGTGTTACTTTTTACCACACTGTCTAATACATATACAAAATTCAGTTTTTTAGTATTTGGAGTAATTATTATTAATCAACGCAAACAGTCAATTAATGTAGTTTGAATCCTGGAATCATATTAATTGGTCCTCTTTAACAAATATTTAAACAGTTTCTTTTTAATTTTTAATGAAATAAAAACAATATCGACAATATTAGTATCTATACTCTTTAAAAATTTGGTACATCTTTAAAAATAATATAAAAAGTCAGTATTCCATGGGTATATTGATAAATGAGTTCTAAATTACAAGAAAATGCATTTTCTACGGAATCTTGAAGAGATAGGTAAAAAACGGTATAATACAATTTGATAGACAATTAAATTGTGCATCTGATTCTCATAAAATATATAGGGTGTTCCATTTAAATTAAACAACTTATTGCCGTTTAAAGATATTAATTATTTAAAATAAAATTTTGGACACTCTGTATAAGGTAGTACAATTTTTATTATTGCAGCACAATAACTGATCAATAAATAAACTTCAGTAAATATTTAGTATTAAAAACTTTGATACCCTGGGAGAAATGAAGCCTTAAAATTTTGACTGCAATTTCACAAAATTGAAAATATTTCAAAAACGGTAAGGTTTAAGTGTAATAAACATTTATCAAATTTACCTTTATTTTAATCGTAGAAACTAAAAATGTAATAATATACAGGGTGTTCCGTTTAAAAAAATACAACTTTGATATTTTTTATTTATTTGGGACACTCTGTATCTTGTAAAAATATTTTTAAATTGTAGCTCTAATAGTCCTTCAACGAACCCAAATCTTACAATTTGTAAAAATCTAATCGTTTAGCTACAATACTCCGTGTCGTATGTGGTGAACAACCCTGTATAGAATGCTAATGTTTATCTGTGTCGTCTCTACTGAAGTAACGACTTGCTCTTGAAAGTTGCTTTTTTTACTAAAAGATAGCTAATTAGCTCTTCTAAAAACTGTCGTCGCCGGATTTTTTGTTTTTCATTTAATTAAAAAAAAATAAAAAGTATTTTTTTCCTTATGTTGTGGCGGATGCGCCAGGCTTCAACTAGTTGTACATAAATTACTAGGATTAATTGACGTTCAATTGTTTCTGGTCACTTTATTCGGCAGAAAATGACACTCGGAATAGAATGACATATAATATATCAACTTTTGACATTTTCGTAGAATGTAGAACGTTTAGTAGGGGAGTTAATCACCGCAACCTTACGGATCTATTGTGTGTTCCAATTTCTTGAGTTATAACGAGTTATCATCCAGTCTTAGGGCTTTAACAAAAGCCAGTACGTGAGACGGAAACATTTTCGTTTAAAAAAAATCGTATTTTAATCTAGAATACCATGGCTGTGTTAAAAATACTAATCTTTAATCAAGGTCACTTGGAAAAATAGATTTGATCATCTAATGTTTTTTGTATCTTGTCCTGCCGGTTAAAAGATACCCAAATCGTATTTTAAATTATATTTCAATCTTTTCAAATGGAATTGGGGTGGCTCGTTAGCATATTTGGAAAAAAAATTACGAATAATTTGGTACCACACACTTGGTATTTCGAGTCAAATTGTCGTTATAAACCGCATGTTATAATTTCAAATAAACCATATGCAAATGCAAAAATGTCAAAAGTTAACATATGATGTCATTTTATTGAGAGTGTCATTTTCTATCGAAATAAGTAAAAAATACCGTGTCATTTAAAAATCAAAAGTTGTAGTCATTTTCCGTGAAACAGGAAGTGATCAAAAACAATTGAATACGTCAATTAATCCTAATTTATGTCATATACTAACATACCAAATTTTGTTTTTTATCTGAAAAAATAAAAAAAATATAAAGGTGAGCCACTTTTAAGGCGCACCCGGTATAGTACTATTAAGCTTTAATTTTTCATTAAAACAATATGTGTTATTTGCAAGGAAATAGTTATGTCGTACTGTCTTTATAGTTATGTGGTACTGTCATATCACCACCATTTTCCAGTACATTAAAATTTAACATCTTAAACTACACTATTTATACAGGTAATACTTTTAATGACATGCTAAAATTTAAGGGGGCGCTTCTTGGGTATATTCTAAGAAAAAACTTTATATAAATGTATGACCTAAACGTTTTAAATTTTGAGATACAGGGTGGTAAAATTTTCTGAAAAATTTTTTTTTCGTAATAACTCTAATGTTATTGAAGATATCTTTATGAAACGGTTGTGCCCTTTAAGAGACATATTGACATCAAAATCAAATTTCTCATATCAAAAAAAAACTGCCACGCAACAATTTTCAACCAAATATTGGCGTTAGTTTAGAAGTTATTTGGGAAAAATCAAAATAAAAATAAAATTTCTACACCCTTTATCTCCGAAACTAAGCATTTTAGGACATACATTTATACAAACTTTTTTACCCGAAAACAATTGGAACCACCCTGTATATAACTAAATCATTGTATATCAAAGTAACATATCGATTTGCAAAAATAAATTATTCGTTGATGGAAAAAGGCAATCTTTCAAAGTATTCTCGCAAATAAACTGCTTCGTCGGAAAGAGTTAGAGAAGAAGGAAAGGGAAAAAAGAAAATCCCCACTTTCAAATTTCGAACCAATCGAAGTAAAAACGTCTGGCCAGAGCCGGAAACGGAGTAAAAACTTTATTGGTCCATAAATATGTTTCCGGTGCGGACCCCGGCGTTGGTTTTTGCGCGCGGTGCGGCGTCACGGCGTCGTTTAGCATCGAAATAAGAAAAATGTGGCAGGGCCGGACCCGCTAGGTCAAGGGTCGGATGCAATCTTCGGTGGCGAACGTGAGCGGGCACGACCCGGGATAAAACTAATACTTTTGCTGTTCCAGACATAATATTGCTGTAAGAGTGGTCGAGATTTTTTCTCTGTTATAATTATAATATTTGTTATAAAGGTTAATAAAAAGTCACAAAACAAACTATGTATGGTACTCATTGCCATATCTTCTTGTCTAGAAGAACCTTACTGGAACTCTGCACCTAACCAAAATAGGAAAAAAATTGCCATTAGACAGGTTAGGTTAGAGTCCTCTACTCCGGTCCCCTTTAAATTTGTCCTCCAAAACAGTTTTAGTCGATATACTATATTTTTTAAAAAACTTTAAAAAATATAGTGTAGTGTACTTAACGTATTATAATAATTTCTCAATTATTGATGAACTAGATAGTTTTTTTAAAATTATTTATCAAATTTTCATTAGAAATGGAGATCATTCCTATCTGTAACAGCCTATAATGTTCAGTATTGCTTTTGCTGAGTGACGTATATGTATAATAAATTATTATATAAGAGTTTCTTGCCTTGAACTGCTAATATAGAAATTAATTCCACGCTGTGTTCGACATAATGTGGATCAACCTGCTCTCACTACCGGTTTCGGGGCCCTACCCCATCATCAGGTGAGCTTGGGTATTTCCACAATATATCGAGCACAGCGCAGAGTATATCAACATGACTTGTCGTA